AACAGAACCCTCTCTTTCGCTTCTGGACCGAGACATGGTGGACGGGGGTGTGGTATTCAAGAGATTCTTTGCTGGCGAAGCAGACGCAGAGCCCGTCGGTGTGTTGCTCCTGACTGCCACACTGGCTAGAGATGCGAGCAGAGGGGATTGGAAGTTGGAGGAGACTGGTCCAGGCGGTAGTAAGGGTCCTCGGGAAGAGGTTGGAGTCGGGCTGCTCGAGGACAATACCGAGGACGAGCGAGCGGAAAGGGTCTGATCGACGCTACCGCGTTTTGATGACGGAGCTGCGCTAGGGGCCTCCGACAATCGCCTGTCATTGACGCTAATAGTATCGAACGACGTTTCCGGGGGGTTGTCATCGACAGTCGACAGACCCCGACTCGCGTCCATGCGGTAAGCACGAGACGTCTCGGCAGACCTGCTAGCATAGCTTGCAGCTCTGTCAGCATCCATGGGGCGCGCAGGGGGTGTCGAGGGTGTGGAGGTCATTGGCGTTGGTGGCAAGGACTTGTGATCCGCACTTGAATCTGCAGAATCCGCTTTAAGCTTTGCGGCGGGTGCCAAGCCTGGTGGGATCCCACTCCAGCGGTCAGAGCGAATGGAGTCACGTGAAGTATCGAACGCAGCGTCTCCATCGTCGTTTTGTCGATTTCTACCACTGGCCGACCGTGCAGCACCGACACTGCTGGGAATAGCTTCCACACCGTTGGTAGATCCGGGCAGCGAAGCTGTAAGAGGTGAGCCGATGAGGCCACTACTGCCGCTGCGACCAGCATTGGATGAGGCATTCCGCCGGCTTGTTGCAGGAGAAGAAGACGAGTCGCCGGTAGCTCCGAGCGAGTCGCCGAAGAGGCCGCCGCCAACGGGGAGCGACAGCTCAAGAGTGGGAGCATGCTCAGAAGTAGGATGCTGCACGTCATCGTTGGAGCGCTCTTCCGCGTCGAAAGCTTCTGTGGAAGCTGACGATTGATCACCTTCTGAGGCGAAGGACTGAGGCTTACTAGGCCTGCGTTCTCGATGACCATTTTCGTTTCCCTGTGTTGGAATGTTCTCTCGCGGATGTCTCACATCTTGAGTAGGTGAGACGTCGGTTTGCGTTCTTCCTTGCACAGCCCACCCGCTGTAGTGCATCGCTGGGCTCTCCTGATCGTACTGTCGAAACGACAGATTGCCCGTCTGTCGTGGCGGCGTAAAGCCGAGACCCATGCGCGGTTCTGTGGAGGCTTCATACCGCGAAGGCGGATTCGTTTGCAAAGGTGGGCTCAATTCAGCAGTGCTTGGTGCGCGATCTTTCGGCTTTGACCCGAACATGTTCTTGAGACCTCGAACAGTCCCTTTGCCGAATTTGGACATGCCGCTCTCGCCCAGGTTTGGAGAACCCACCGGTTCTGGCGCAGGACTTCCTAGACCCAACAAGTAGGCAGCCTTGGATTCAGAACCTCGAGACGTTTGAGTGTGCCCAGCCTTTGAGCCGCGCTGCTGCAAGCTAGTTGCGGACGACGACTGGCCCAGCGCGCGGTTCTTTTCGCCTGGCATTGATTGGCCCCCCATCATCATCGTCGATTCAGGTCCCTTGCCCATCAAAAATTGGTCGCTAACAACAGATGAGACGGATCCGTTTCGTCCGCGCGCAGCAAACAGGGTGTCGTTGCGCTCCTGCGTTGGAGTCGGCGTGCGTCCAGTGCGCAGGAATGAAGAGAGACCGTCTTTCATGCTACCGCTTCTTGATCGCGGCCTGATGCCATAATCTGTAAAGGAAGAATTGCTAGATGCTTCTGACGCGTGGTTGTACATCGAGTGCGAGGGCGCATCCCAACGAGGACTAGGCGGTTCTGCGCTGCTCTCTTGCGAGTGCGTAGCGCTCAACCCCGTAGATGATGCTACCGAAGGGCGACGATCAGCGGAATGACGCTCACGAAGCGAAGCATTGCTAGCCCCCGCCCTGCCAGCCGCGAAGGAAGAGCCATTGCTCGCATCGTTGGAGGCAAGCGACGCTGTGCGGTACGGATGATTTGCTACCCGCCGCAAATCATCTGGGTCAGAAGTGAAGAGTGTGATGTGGGCATTCGCTGAAGCTTGCGGAACGCAGCTCGAGACGACACTCACCTAGCTGCGCAGCACCCATCACGGGTCCCGAAGCCGTTCGAGGAAGTGCAGATGCTGTTGGAGACACATCAACCTTTGTATTGGAGCTGGGGTGTTGCCTTTCAGCCGCTCCGGAGGTGCGGTGGCGCCTCGAGGCGCTCATAATGTTGAGCTTTTGTCGCGCACCAGTAGCACCCACGGGTACCAAGAATGTGCGCGGAGGAGCAGATGGGCCAGTCGCTGCGCTGCCCGCGATCCCGCTGCTCGATGTAGCTCTGCGATCCGTATTCACTTCGAGAGCGCCAGCGTGACCATCACTCGACCCCAATCTTGTCAGTGTCGAGTGCGTGTTGCTCGCACTGCTCGAATCGACATCTGTTATGCCCCCGCGTGTGCTGTAGCCGCTAGAGGATCCCAGGCGGTCGTGAGCGGACCCTCGCTCGTTGGGCTCTGCCTCGGCACCATATCGTGTCCAGTGTCCGGTAGAATTGGCATACGAGCTCTGCTGCGGCTGCGGAGAGGGGGCACCGAGTCCCAAGGCTGCAGGCAGTGACGAGGAAGACCCACTAAAAGAAGGTTGGGCAGAGGTCTCTGCAAGTCGCCGTGAGCCCGAGCCGGAGTCGTAGTAGTCTCCCCTGGAGCTGCTGTAGCCTGTCGACATGTTGCCAAGGGCGTTACCTTCAACCAAACAGGATAGACTAGAAGGTCGCTATGCGAGTGTCGTACAGCCCTCTCCTCTCCGAGAGTCGGAAGCAGAGGCGTTGCCAGTAATGAGCCCTCAAATGTCGTACTTGGCAGTCAGGCAAGCCGATGTGTGCGGCAGCCGCAGCAAGCGCACACCCAGCGAGGAGCAGCGTGATAGGCGGTCTTTAGCTTGCGGGCAAGATGTGGAGACGAGGCACGCATTCGCTCATGACCGCAGCGAGGCGTGTGTCGATGAACTAGAGAAGAAAGAAGTCAAGAGCGTAAGTGATGCCTGGATTGATGCGGTCAAGCGCCATGAGCGGCATCATCAATCGCAGCTGGAAGGCGGCTGGGCGGGCGCTTGACAACCATTCAGTCATGCACGTATACGCGTACGCGCGACTCCAGACTTTGAGCTGCTGCTATAGCCGCCGCGCTGCATCACATATTCACTCTCAGACCAGCCGCTGCCGCTGCTGCTGATGATGCTATTCGGAGAGTCAAGTCGCCCGCGCGCATTGACGACTCGAGCGCATTCTGCGATTGTGTTTCATGCGCGCGTGCTGCTCTGGTGCATCAAGAACCGCTTAAATGGCTTGGCCCACAGCAGCAGCGATTGATGCTGCATGGGGCCTCAACGCTCCCGCATGCATCAGCAATCGAATAGTGAGTCAAAAGTAAACACTTTCAAAGAGGAAGTACTACCAGCCGCCGCGACAGCAGCAATTATACCCAGCATACCTACATACTCTTTTGTATTTGAGTGAAGCGCACCCATATTCAGCAACTGCATGCGCTGCTCGGCGGCCCCGTGGGAGCGCACGTCTTCTT